TGATGTAAACTACACCCCAAATAAAAAGGGTCGGAAGTTTTATACTCCCCTAACCAGGACTGTTCAGGGAAACCCTGCTCCAATCTTTACCAGGGAGCATCAGCATTTCATTGGGGGTGCCTGCTTTAAATAGTGTATGTTGTTTTTCTGGCAGGGGGCACCGAAGAGGGGGGACATTGGGAATTCGTTGGGAGGGGGACATGTGCCTCCTTGGGTACCCCCCCTCCCCATGGCTACATCACAGCTTTTTACATACAAACATATCTGCTTTTCAAAGGACACATTTGCATGTACATGCACAAGTTGGGAGTATAACTAAATTATTCTTCTGCCTTGATGTAGAAGTACCAGCATACAGATGAAAAAACTTGTGTAGAGCAAAATAGTACATGCACAAGTTGGGAGTATAACTAAATTATTCTTCTGCCTTGATGTAGAAGTACCAGCATACAGATGAAAAAACTTGTGTAGAGCAAAATAGTACTTACAGTGACCCAACCTGATTAGTCAGGTTACTTGTCACTATCTGTACCAACTCCTTTCTTGTCGAGGTTGCGATTTCTTCTTTTTTCGAGCTCAGCAAGAATTTTGCCTCCATTCTTGTGAGTACTAAGGATTGCACTGATGTTGTAATCCTGAGAGGAAATTCAAAATGGTAAAAAAGTTTTCAACAATCAGTTTGTAAATGTTATTTGGCTGTGATTTGCTAACACTCAGCACAACAGATATGAAATTCTGTTATGCCTTCTTTACTCCAGTCAATCTACAATAACATGGGGTGATCAATAATTGTAAAATCTCTCACTACCTTGTGTGCTTTAATTAAAATTGTCTCCTATAAATCAGATACATGTACCGTAGGATCATTGCCACAAAATTTCAAGGAGAACTTGGGGCTGCTGACATCTTCATTTGGCACTGTTGCACTAGATGTATCAGTAATTGCTGCACTGCTGCTGCTTCCGGAGACTAGAGTCTGTGGAGATTGGCCAAAACGATCACTCTTCAGGGCTATCATCAACTTCCTCCTTTCACCGAAGAGGGTGAAGCCACATTCTTTGAAGTCCTCTTCTGTCATTGATGAGATGACCTCCTCACTGTCAATGCCATTTTCTTACAAAAAATAAAAATACAATAAATAAGAATTTCCAGTCAAATAATTGAGATGGGCAGTACAAATACTAAATAAAAATTAGTATTTGCAAATTATTCGCAGTAAACTAGGTGTGCAAATATCATTTCCTCTTTTGCCCTGATGGCAGCTAAGACTGCCATAATGCACTTTTAAAGAAAGTAAACTAAACTGATTAAAATTTTAAAATGGGACGGTCTATCTGAAAATTCACGTACATGTGTGCCCTTTTCTAGATGTCCCTGCTGTTTTTTGAATGATACCTATGAATTCAGCTTGCAAGTGTTTTCAACATATTCAAACACAATAAGGTGCATATGCCCCCTAATTATGAAAGGCTTTATTAAAATTTTGCAGTTCCTGCAGCTCCCAAAATTTGTTTACCAAATTGAAAACCATGATTTGCTACATGTGTGTTACGTGTTTTTCAACCGATTAGTAGTGTTTCTAAATGTTTAAAGAGCATATTATGTGAGATCATGGGTGTCCCGGCTGGCACTGCATGCACTTCAGCAATGCTGGCAATGCCTTTTGCATGAAACAATTCTTTAAATGTCTTCTAACTGCATGGAAATTAAATGCAAAATACATGCATGTGCTTCCTGCTGGCAATCTTCCATGCACGGACAAGAAAATAAAATTTAAGATTTTTAAGATTTGGACCAAAAAATATATTTGCATGCTCATATTTTTACCTCTTTTTTTGGTTGGGTGATGGTTCTTCCTAGCTGCCATCCTATTAATACGCAATATATCGGAGCTGAATGTATGTGTTGCTGTCTTCCTTACTCAGGGTGTGTAATCCAGAATACGGGAGAAAATGTTGAAGGTCACCAGCCTTGATAATACTGAATGCAGGGGGATTATGAACTATCACTGGGTACGAATGTAAGTGTGGAACAAAATCTCCAGTTGAACATCTTTTTATCAGGAAATGTGCCTCCTGTTCACCATGTAATCCCACTAGCACAGACGAAATTAGCCCAAATGTAGGCACATGGTCATCATCATCAGAGACATCAACAACGATATACAAGTTTGATCTGTACGCAGTTCCAAATATTTCAACTTCGTTGGCAACAAACACTTGTGCTATATCCAGTCCCAGTTCTTGTACAGCCAGACCACCTTCAAGGTTTTCTACTCTAACAGTCCCACCACTAGAACACTTGAATCTTGTGCTGATTCCACTCTGCCATGTAGCACAATGATGAAGTTGTATCTTGGCGGCAACTGACTTGCAAATGTTCCTAAAATTTGCATTTACATGCCCTATCTTCTTGCTGAAAGCATTCTTTGCTTCGTATTTGAAGCACGATGCATTTCCCAAAGGCCCGGTTCTTAGAATACATGTTGCATAGTGTATCATGTGGTGGTGCTTGTTGATTAAGTTGATGTCTGGGAATAATTCTTTGAAATGAGCATGATGCTGAACAATTAAATGTTTCAGATAGTAGACATGGGATTTGCGAACAGGAACAGCAAGAACAATCTCAGTACATCTCAATAATAGTAAGATCAACTCATAGTAGCGATTTCCCACAGGCACCTGATCTCCAATAAGAAAAGGAAACATTCTTAGAAGGCAGGCCATCTGTGCTGCTTTTTGCCCTAGTTTGTGATCACCTTCATTCTGTAGTCCTGGTCTTGTAAGGTTGACACTTGGTTTGTTCTTCCTCTCCATGAATGGATATGCAAAACTTTTCACCCGTGCATTGAATTGATCCACTGTCATAACATTGTCTACTAATAACAGCTGTCTAAGAACAAGCTTTACTTCAAATGGTGCCACACCCTCAAAGATGTCGTGCATTACATCAAAATTACAGTTTGTTGTAACATGGAAGTAACGGAGCTCATTTAAACAACACTTCCCTCTTACTCCTGTGACAGAATTGCCATTTGGCAGTTGAGCTGCTTCATCTGCATGCCTATCATGAGATTCTATATTGCGCAACTCAAACTTTTCTTCCAGAAATTGTGTCTGGGCAGTTTCTCTCGAACAGAGACACATCCGGCAAAAATGGTTAGCCGAAGGACTAAGAAAATTGAAAACATCATGCACTGCAACAGAGTCACCAACGACACGAGTAAGGGCAGCTCGGATGCACATTGGTCCACAATCTTTCACTTCAACCATACAACCCATATCTGACTCAAGCTGATGTAGTTCATCCTTTAACTGCTTCAATATTGGTTCAAACCCATATGTCTTCAGGTCAAGAGAATGACATACTGCCACCAAGTGAATAGACTGCATGTCTCTGTTGTACACCTTGGGCAAATTCTCAATACTGAAATAAAATAACCCTAACTTGTGAATCACTCTTTTTGAGCCTAGTGGGTTTGCTACCTCTACATCATCATAATAGAGTTGGATCCTTAATGTGTCTGGGTGGCCATCAAACCCTCCTTGTTCAATAAACTGTTGTCCATCCTTATGGGAAGCCAGAAATCCTTCTTCAGTAGTCTCCTCACTTTCTAACAAAGCTCGAAGTGACGGAGATGACAGAATGGCTGTTAATGTTTGTATTACTGATACATATTGAAATGTCTCTGTTACAAGTTTTTGTTGTACAGTGCCAGTATTTTTATCTACAAACTGGTCATACCTGGTTCCAAGAGCTATGGCTTTTGAGGGAACTAACTGACAGTGTTCCAGGAAGAATTTGTTTTGTTGGTCAACTGTTTCTAACCCTTCAAATGGATTTGAAACCAGGTCAAATTTTGCCAGAAGTTCTTGGACATCATCTGAATTAACATCCACGTTTTTTTCACCTAGTAATTTTAAAACTTGATCTTTCAGAACTCCTATGTTTTCCGTCATCAATGATTGCGTTGTGTTTATGTAAGCATTAACAGATGTAAGGGTGGTGCTTGCATGTCCTCTCATATGCAAAATGAATGATGCAGCCTTTTGTTTAAGCACATTCAAGTTAATATCAGGAATCTCTTCAACTTCAACATGAACCATATCTTCAGCATCTTCATCACTTTCCTCACTTGAAAGGTCACTGACTACCCGTTCTTCGACAACAGGTGGCGGTGCAACAATTCCAACATTCTGGTGGTGGCGTTTTATGTGACGAAGAAGTGAATTTACCAATTTAAATGTTTGTCGACATCCTTCTTGACCGCATATTAAGTCATTGTAGTCACCCAAATAATGAAAGTTACGCAGATGTAAGGCAAGCTTTCTTGAATCTTTAAAGTGATGTTTGCATTTGAAGCATGAGAGTGGCATATCTGTAAGCTCTGTTCAGTAACCAGTAGTGACAACTTCTCCTGGCTTATTTTTTCCAAACGAACGTGTCCAGTAGTTCTTTCTTCCTATGTTACTGTTGAATAAAAAAGGACAAGATTTGGGCTGATGCAATTTGTTTTTAAGTATGTGGGAGTTCAATGGTGCAACGAAAGATGATACAGGTTTTCTTTTTTTTTTTACAATTTTGGTCCCTATATAGGCCCAGTCTATATTTCTTGTGCTTTCTCCCCTTCACTGCACACACCATAAACAAAGTCTATTACAAGTTCATGTACATGGTGATGACCAAAACCAAATGCCAGAATTAAACTGTGTATGGGTGTTTTTTGTTTTGTTTTGTTTTTTTTTTTTTTGAGAGGGCAAATTTCATTTGATCAGACAAATTTCAGTGCATTTTTTTTTGCCAGAATCCAAGAATGAATTGCAGATCTAGGTTGGAAAAAACCACCTGCATCGTTCTGTGATGTGCCATGGGAAAACTAAATGTGACGTGATTTGGGAGAACCATCTGAATTGTGCAAAGAATTAGGTTTTAAAAGTTACAATGCCACATGTTTATAGCATCAATTGGATTTTAATATTCACCAACGTCAGTACAGCATGGCGTTTGTTAAGGCCACTTTTTTTTCAATGGAAAAACAAATGGACGAAACACACTTTTATACTGTACATGTCCTTTGATTAGTGTACTCGTGCACTGTTACCATGGTATGCCGTTGTTTTCATCTGTTGCCAACTGCATGCATAAGGCCATTTTCCCAGCCTATAGCCCAAGGTGTTGCGTATAACCTAATGTTACGTGTGGGCCCAGGCCTATACCTGTATACAGGCTAGGCATATAATAGGCCTGTCACGTAACTGTCTCTGACGTTACCCTTACCCTAGACCCAGACTAGGGCCAGTCTACTTCTATTCCTATATCACGTCTATTGCAAAATTGGGGGCATACAGGCCCATGCCTACTTCTTTATGAACTTCACGTCTCTCAAGCTGAGGGCATTAACTCACCCAAGAAAATCAGAAATCCACTATTTCAGCGCATCTCCAGCCCTTCCTTTTTCGTGAAATTTTGGCCTCAGTATTTCTCACGTCCTGACTCTATCTGCCCCACCGTACTGCAGTGATGCACTCCCTCTGAAAATAATTCCAGGCATGCACAGATATATTTCAATGTTGACCGCTTCGGTAGCTGTTTGCGGATTACAAAAGGTGGGTCGCGTAGTAGTGTTGAAACCTCACCCGGCCGACCCACTTTTTGTAATCTGCAAACAGCTGCCAAAAAATTACAGGTCAGCATCAAAGTGCACTTGCGCATGGAGTACGTTGCTGCAGTAGGCATGGTAGGCCTATTAATGAATGGCAGAGTAGGGATCGACACGAGAAATAGAGGTCTAACACTAAATTTCACAAAAAGGAAGAGCTCGAGACGTCCCGAAATTGTGGATTTCTGATTTCCTTCAGTGAGTTAGCCTAATGGCTCTTAACTTAAGAGATTTCAGGATGGGGTCCATAACTTAAGAATTTTTTTCTGCACTCCCAATTTTGCTATTGATGTGAGTAGGCTATAGGCCTATATAGGGCCAAGGTATACGGGAGTACAGGATACAGGACTAGCCTTGTAGGCCTAGTATCTGTGCATGGCTACCCTTCCCCGGCCAAGCAACTCAGGCCCACTGGACTAGCCTATAGGCCTAGGGCCTGACGTTACTCAAGTTAGCCTATATAGGGCAGGCATGATAGGTAATGCAACAGTTGTTAGGCCATATTTTTAGGCCCTAATTATTAAGGCTATAGGCCTAGGCATGATAGGCCTAGGGCCTAGGCTCAGGCCAACATCGTGTTTGAACTAAAGGTCCGGAATTGTTCTCTTTTAATGGATTAAACGCTACACATAAGGCAACATAGGCTACAAAATACACAAAACCAAGGTCTAAACAACGACATTCCAGCACAGTTTACGCGCGGCGTAGGCCTTGGTCTAATGTTAACACTTGCCTGCACGTTAGCCCTCTTCGGCCGGCAGGCGCGGCCAACCCCAAGTTAGNTTCACGAGATGAAAAAAAAGATTAGATCGCATACGTCTACAAAATTGGAAGAAAATAAAGAAAGCTCGCGAAGCAAGCAAGAATTTGAACGTCAAGTCAACGAAAGAGCAGAAGCGCTAGCCAACGAACGAGCAGCGGTTTTAAAAAGAAAAATCTTATGAAAAAACTTGGCGAGTAAGTTTTACAAAGTCGGTTGAGTACAAGCGTAGCGGGCACGACCGGAGCGAGTACGAAGAGAATCCACCCACTTATCGAGAAGCGACTATTCCCACGGCGTAAAGATTATTTTTAAAATTCTTTTAAAATAAATGGGAGGCAATTTTAGTAGTCTAAATATTAAACGAAGACAATTCATTTACAGCCGAGTTTCCAAATTTAACGCACGCGTATAAATTACCGAGAGTAACCACGGATGAAGCGGTCAATAGGTGGTCTGCTGAGGCGATATCGTTTTACCAAAATCAATTTAATTTCGCGGTCTATTGCGCGACGACGGCCTGCGGTGTGGGTTTTGATCTGCTGTCCGACCCTTATCCATACGTCTCGGCTTTATTTAACTTTCACGTGTATTACACCGTACGGAAAATATTTTACGACTGCGTGATGCCCATTCCAAGCGACGACGTATTTGACGCGTTACACAATAATTATGACCATCGGAAGTTTACTGACACGTGCCTTTTATACGGAGTAGACCCGAATAAATCTTAAAAACAAACAAAAGACACTTTGTCAAACGGATTAGGCACAGCTTACTACTACGACAATGGATACGTACCCGTTCCGGGTAAAAACTACGACGCGCACGACTTACACGTGACCAACGGTAAATATGCGGGATCGAAGTGGGACTTCGTTCCTAAAAAGTCTCGTTTGACGGATGTGGGAATCACCAAGGTAAACAAATCAATTCGAGCTTACGTCTACGCATTACGAGGGGCACAGGTGCAGACCAAGACCAGCGTTTTGGCCACCGGCACCGGATTAGACGCGTGACGGCAATTTATTACGATCGTGGAATCTTTAATTCATTCGGGTCCCGATCTCGAACAGTCGATCGACCAATATCAAGATTCGTTACAGTACGCAAAAACGCCGTTGAACTTCGTAGTTGCCCCAGGTTTGTACCTGGTGCCCTCGGACATGGACTTACGCATCGGTACGTTTGAGGGATACAACAATAATTTACAAGTCGCGACTGAGGATATGAAGACTGGGTACGTACCAAGTTTGAATAACGGTACGAGCAGAGCGAGTACGAGTACTGGCAAAGAGGAATTACCAGAACCGGCAGTGTTACTGAGAAAGCAACCAAAGCCTTTAGACGCCCACAACGAAGAAAAACTATCATTAACCGTTGGAGCTGTTGCAGTGGGTGTCGTTGGGTTTATGTTATACAAGGTTTTCACTTAAACGGTTTGAATTAGAGCAAAAAAAAATTCACCCCAAATTTGGGATGAATTTTTATTTATTTTTCTTTTTTGTCCTATTTACCCATTCTTTTGCACGTATGTCAAAAGCAGAACACCTGCGCCCACGAACAAGGTCCAAACGTGTTCCGCCACCCATCCGACCGCTTTACTCGCTACGTTAAAAAAACCAACTAAAAATGCTACCGATGATCCCGGGCAAAGCGTCTAAAGCCTTCAACCCAAGTTTCTTTAATACGTTTGCCAGGTTCCACAGTTGCCGTTTGATCCAATCGGTAATTCCTGGTTTGGAAGGAGGTTTAGGCGTTGGTTCAGGAGTTGGTTCAGGCGTTGGCCATTATACTACTAACGACGGTACTTACCGCTAAACCAAAGGCCGTTAAGATGCTCACGATTGTGACGCCTTGTTCTCTAAATAAAATATTAATTCGTTCGCGTAGTGTCAAATCCTAATTCATGATCTTTTCGATCGTTTCCTTGATGCGATTAATTTGGATTCTCAATTGATTGGTGTTTCTATTGATGACTTCTAATCTACCCCGTCTTTCGACTCGTAAGTTGTCCAATTGTCGTTGAAGTCCCGTACGTTCTTCTTCGGATGTCGCTTCTTCCAACTCGGCTTCCGAATTGTTGAATTTTTGCGTCTAACTCATCTAATTTACCTTGATTTAAAATTAATTCTCCTTTTACCGTTTGTAACGATTTATCTAAAGCGACGAGTTCTCTGTAATTTAACCCTTCGGTTTGAACGTCTATGTCACGGGTGAGGTCTTCCACGATGTCGTTCGCTAGATCTGCTTCTTGGGGTATTTCTACCAATTCTATGCTCTCGGGATGAAGTTTCGCAAGTTTACGAGAGACCCGAGCAGCTTCTTCTTTTGTTTTCCGGAAACGTAATGACGCAAGCCTAAAACGCGTCTTATAAAATCTGTGTTTGTTCTTTGTTTAATAGTACTTAGGCTAAGAAATTTACTATTATCGTTTTCTTGGGTTAAAAGAACTTTTTTGCCTTCAAACTTTACGTACAAGCGATCTTTACTATCTAAATTATCTTTAATTTCTGTTTCGTAACCAGTTTCTTTTTTGATAGCTGTGTAAAAATCGTTCACTTTAGATTCACGCAACAATTGCCTAAGATCCATTAAGTTGACTTGTCTTGTTAGTTCTGTTTCGTGTAAAGGATCGACGTCTTTAATTGACTCGTTGTATCGCTTTTCGATCTCTAAGCCGCCATATATTTCATCTTCTTCGTCTGGCCCAACGTCAATAGGATGTGTAAAATTAGTGTCTTCTATAAAGGACGTTTCTTCTTGCGTTGTATCAAAGGTATCGTCCCATTTTAAGTTATCTTGGTAGTTTATTTCTTGATTTTCCAAGAGAGGTATTTCCTCGGGCTCGAATCCTCCTTTTGCCATTTCTTTTATAGTATACGGTTTTTTTTTAAGCGGCGGGTAGGCTCGCGGGTAGGATACCCTGCGCTACCAACCAACCCTTGGTAGCCAATGCGCCGCTAGACAAAGCGGTTAATTTTAATGCATCCTCGGCGGACAATCTATTTAGGTCTGGTGGTTTAATTTTAAATAGCTTACTCGATAGCATAGCATAACCGAGTGAGATTCCCGAGACGACAGCACCGTGATAAACCGTATTTGCGATTCCGTTTACGTCGATTGATTTAGCGTTACTCATATTTATATATAAAGAACTTTTAAATAAAGTGAGCAAAGCGAGCTACGACCAAAGGGAGTATTCAATCCATGTCTAAAATTGGTTCTTGGTTAGGAATTATCGTGTTACTCGCTTCTTGCTTTGGCTGAGCGCTAACTTGTCGTGAACTGGGCTGGACACTGCTCGACTTGTTTCTCCAAATTAAGTAG